AACGATCTTGATGGTTTATTAGAAACTTTCAATCGCTTTTAATGTGACTTGATTCTTTGAATGTATTCTTTTGAAGATATCTTTATTAATCAAGCATTTGGAAATTTAATGTTGAACCGGTTAAGAAATAACGCCTATAGAGAATGAGAAGAGACATGAAAACGGGATGATAATAGCGGAAGATTAGCCTTTTAAATTTAAATCATGTTTGTTCAACTTTTTCTATGCGTTCTATTGCATGTAGAAAATACAATGTGATCTCTCTATATTAACCGATCAAATATTTTTATAAATATGTATATCCATTGATATATCACTAACTACAAATATTTGACAAAGGCGCGATCATCAGACGTGGAGGCAGACGAATAGCAGCTGTAATATCAAACAGTTTCATAACTGGCAGCATCGTATTAACATATTAATACATATCCGCGTGCAACGCATTAGTATGCATGTAAGCCGATGTTCGTTGGGGCTTCGTCGTCCGGCTTAAACGAAGGGTGATCCCGGGGGCACTATGGGCAGACGATCGCGGGAAGAGAGGAGAAAGAAGGAGAAAGAGAAGGGAGATGAAGAGAGTATCATAATACTTGTGAGTCTCGGGACACATTAAGAGGATCATATCGTTCGCATTTAAGATACGCAAGACATTTCAGTTTGATCCGAAACGCGATGAGCCCCGTGACGTGTCTGTGAGACCAGACGCGCTTACAGGTCAGATTAGAGGGTATAGTTTCACACGTTACGTTCAGACAGGCAGCTCGTCGCTTTTAATGCGATAAAGGTGTTCGTGCCCTTCGGGTATATTACCCCGTTGAACTCTGCCCGAGTGGAGACGGGCGTTACATGTAACTCTTTTTCTTTCGAGCCTCTCGAGACCGTTTTCACTTAACAATAAGTCATGAAATCGAGATATCGCCACTCGAGAGCGTTCACTAATGAATATGATATATTTTCTAAAATATAATGTATTATTGTACTTCCTTTGTCTTGCTTCAGCTTGAAGGAAGATTTTAATGCGTTACGTTTAATAATTTATTCTATTAATCTGTTAAAAGAAGTGATGATGGAAGAGCGCAATTTGTGGTATATAATAATTAGAAAAAGTGTCTTAGATTCTCGGTATTAAAATTAAATTTTATGTTTCTGCTGTGTCAGCAAAAGATAAGAGTAACATAATTATGTTTCATACAGATGGTAATTAAAGATAAATATTTGTAAAGAGATTCATATTTGAAAATATTGACTTAATAATTGATATATCTTGCATTATAAAAAATTCAAATTTAAAATGTTAAATGCAAAAGCTATTTTTTTATTAACACATTTAAACTTGATCAAATTGAAATCGATATTACTGCGATTCAGTGACATTTATTCATAAATATGTAATGAAGTATTATCTGATCATTAATTAATCTAAATTGAATCATCTCATGTGAAACTTTTATGAAATATATTTATTACATTAGGATAAGAATAAGAATAGACATAATAAGTACAATAATACTTTTAACTAATACTTATAATAATTATTAAAACTGATTAGGTTTGATATATTTATATTTTAATTGTAATTTATAATTCACTCACTTTTTATGCATATTGTATTTTATATATACCTATATATAACGCAATATGCATAAAATATTATCTTTAAGAAAATGTATGAAAGATAAGAACATTTTGTACA